GGGCTCCTTCCAAATTCAATTAGCACTTGCTCTGCTTACCACCCTGCTTTTGGCGTCACGCCTGTTCCCAGGGGCTGATTTACCAAATACAGCTGAGAGGTGGAGGGAGAACAGGGCTGGGTGAAGGAGCCAGGGCTGGGAGATGCTGTGGCCATGATGTGACTGCATCCCAGCATCACACCTGGGACACGGGGCACCGTGTCCCGTAAGACACGTGGCCACATCGTCTCTCCCACTGCACTCATGTGTCTGAAGACAAGACCCTCTAGATAGACCTATATGAAATACCTGCTGCTCTTTTAAACAAAAATGCCTTTGATGGGCTCTCTAACCACTGCCTTTATTAATCCCTCTATAAAGGCCAGCGCAAACCCCTCTAAAAGTCACAAAGTCCTACCTAGTGCTTCATCTGGTCCATGAGACAGCTGCATCGCTTGGGAAGCTGCCACAAACCTTTAGCTTATGGTAAGCTGGGGAGGGAGGGAAATATGTTTAGACTCTTGCAGTTATTTAAATAGGTCATTAAACACCGATTTTTATTTATTTATTTAATTTTAACGTGGAGGGGGATTATTGACTTCATCTGGCTCCTCCAAAACACACAGCGCTGCGACCTCAAGTCCACTCTACTGCCGCAGAGGCTCTTTGCTTGCAAAAGCGAGTTTAAAAGAGAAATGGTGGGGGCTGTACAGGCAGAATAAAAGCCAGGGTATTGATTTTATAAAAATCCAGCATCACCTTTGATACTCTGTTAAAGTTACACTAAGGGATAGCTGGCACGGCTTCCAGCGGGATAATTACAGCCCCAGTCTGAGTAATGTCTGCGCGCTCAGGGCTTGCAAAGTGATCTGCCTTTATTAGAAGGAACCTGAATGAGAAATGAAGGCGCTGATCCTTCCTGGGTTCGATAGCTGGCGTATTTCACGTATCTACTTTCTGTAAACGGTTCTCTATAGTGCTTCATAACAGAGAAGCCGCCGGGAGCCAAGAAAATAAGCTCTGGCAGTGCTGGCCGAAGCCAACGGGGTCACTTCCAGCGGCACGTCGCATTTTTTGCCTGCTTTGTACGTGAAAAGTTGTCGCTGCGGATGTTCACCCACCGTCGGGAGATAGTCATGGGAATGGAGGGGACTCGCTCCTTCGGAATGCTCTGGGACTGACATATCGGGCACAACATTGCCCTTTCTTATAGCCGGTATCATGCTCTTTCCTTGGATAAATGCTAATCCCTCAGGGTGTTGCCGGTGAGACTCAAAAGCTGCATTTTCAGAAAGTGCTAATAAAAGGCACTAATAATTAGGTGTTTGGAAAACTCTTTGCCAGCTCTTGTAGGAACTGCCCGGGCTACAACCAGTTTTTGTCCCCATCCTGACCACTGGCGATAACTTCTCCCACCTTCGTAACAACTGTCCCCATCTTAAAAGCAAAATATTAATCCTGGGGGCTACCTAGGGTAAATGGGACTATCCAGGATAAACGGGACTGGTGGCGATGGTGTCTTCTGCAGCCGCCTGGTGGATTTGCAGGAAAGGTGGGGATGCATTATCCCATCTTCTACCCCCCACAAGGAAGAATACGGGATAACGCTGAACCCTCTCGTTACTGCAAGGTCACCGGCTGTGTTGCTCCAAATCCCTGAAGGGTTTCCAGTTAGGAGCTGCCTCGCTCCCTGCCTGGTTTTTCATATAATATGGGATGTCTGGCGGACTTTAGAGTGTTGAAGCCAATTAAGATGTCTGGCCCTACTCAGCGCCTTAATTCTTCTTGCTGGTGCTTTGTTGAAGGCTGTGTTTTGTCTCTGCGCTTTTTGAAAGATGCCGGCCTTCAGATAAAACCACAGTTGTTTTAGGAAAAAAATCCAGATACTGCAGCAGGCGTCTTCCTGGAAGGGCTGATGGATGCTGAGGGTGACTTTGGCTTGATGTAGGGACCGCGGGATTTCATGGGCTTTGCGAACCGCTCGCTCAGTGGGTAACTCTTATTTGGGCTTCCCCCGAAGCTGACCTTCAAGCTGCGGCAGTTGCTGGTTGTAAAATTGGTAACGCTCATTGGTGACTTGCTGTGGCTGTCAGCAAGCGCACAGATTCAGCTCGGTGTCTATTCCTAGTGGTGGGTACATATTATATATATAAATATGTATATATAGCCCTTCATCTCGATCCAAAGTAGATGACTGACTGTGCTTTCCCTTCCGTGACTCCCAAGCAACCACAGCCAGATGGGATATTAATAATGATCACGTGCTGGACCGCTCATAAACTTAAAACTGAGGTTGCATGGGCGAGAAGGCAAGTTCTGCTGTCGTCTGCTCCGGAGATTTCACTTCTTTCAAGTAAAAACTCCACCTATCAAAAGAGGAAGTCATAGGCAGTGTCTGTACTTGGGGTCCAGTAAGGTAGTGGTGAAAACTGGAGAGCCTGTGAGTGCAGGGTGGCGATGACAAGATCTCAGCTGTTGTTTTAATCCACAGTAAATATATAATTATGCTTAACTCACACTATGCTTGGAGTTTTCTCTTTGTGCTGCCGGCCCCTTGGGCTGCGAAACGACTCACGCCCAAAAGTGCTGTTACTGGGGAAGAAACGTGGAATTGCGCAGTTCTGATTTGGGGGGGGGGGGGGGGGGTTTGGGTTTTTTTTTTTTAAAAAAACCCCATTGGGGAAAGTTGCATCCTTCTTGTGATGCACACGTGATTGCTGTAGGACAAAACCGCAGAAATTACATTTGGGAACCATCTCGTGGCTGCGACTTGTGGGAGGTCCCTACTGGTCTGTTGCCCTCCCTCTGCTGTCCTTGGGCAGGAAAGAAAGAGAGTTGGGAACGGCAGCAGCCTGGCCAATACGAGTGCGAAACCCCTCTCCTCACTCTCCAAATATACTTGAGCCGAGTGTATTTGGGCTTTTTTTTTTTTTTTTAACGTGCGTTCTACTGTTTTTCTGGCGATGCTTCCAGGTTGGTCTTGGCGCTTATTGAAGCGTGTCTTGGCCTTTATCGAAGTGAGAAGTTACTTCTGAAGTTATTAGACGCTGAAATTCTCCAGGAGTACCGTACCTTGGAGACTGGGGCTTTCAGCAACACCAGGGACCCCGGGGAACGTGGGAGGGACTTTCCCCACCACGTGTGGAGGAGCTCCCTGCATCCTGCCTGTCCCACACAGGTCATCTGGATGTTCCCGGAGACTGAGGACTACCTCCACCTCAAATTAACCCCATATTATGACTGGGCACTAATCTGGTGTGAAGCACTCATGTGTTGTTGGGTTATTGTCTCTCTTTTAATTGTGGTTATTGCAGTATTTATTCCTGTTCCTGTTTTCTGTGTGGAGGCCAAAGCTTATAAGCAGTCCCCGAATATGAATAATGAGCAGTGAGTTTAAATATAAGCCTGAAAAGCCTGGTTTGGTATTGGTGAGATCTGACTGCTTCATTATGTGTTTTATAAGGAAATTATGTGTTTTCTGGTGTGTTTCTTTCTCTAGTTCCCCAGCAGCAATTACTTTCGCAAAGGCCCTGAGAACCCTGGGGGTGGTGCTCCTGTTTTCCTAAAGGAAGCATTTTTTTCTTTTTTTTTTTTTTTAAGAAATGAGATTTTAACAGGGAAATATATTATGAAGGTGCTGAGCATCAGTGTGCGGTCAAGTTTCCCGACTGCTCCTCCCCAGCATCATCCCTTCCCTTCCCCGACAGTGTGCGGAGGGTCCGTCTGTCTGTCTGTCAATCTTTGCCCCATGCTACACAATAGTTTCCTACACGAGATGGCGCTCTCTGCCTTTCAATAAAATAAAATGCAACTATTAATTTTTTTTTTCATTATTTCCTTCCACACGCACACCCTCAGAGCTTGCCCCCCCCCCAGCTCTGCCTGACCCCTTGGTCCCCGGGATGCTCCTGGGCTGAGGGTGGGAACCAGGAGCAGCTCTGACCCCGAAGGTTTCCAACCCCATGTGAAAGGCTGGAGGGACAGCTACAAGTGTGCAAAACCACCCCACCACCTCCAACTCATTAAAAGAGAGGGTGCTAATTGACTTTATCACCTTGATTTAAGGCTCCTGAGATACAGCCTTGGCTTCCAATCCTAGCTCAGGTGCTTTGCCTGGTCCTTGCCCTGCCCCAAACCCAGGGAACAAGATCCCATGGTGGCCCCAGGTTGGGCTGTAGACCCTGAGGGGTTCCTGGGCTCTTTTTGGGCCCAAGGTCTGGCTGTGGGGCTGGGCCAGAGCTCCCCCCACCCTTTTTTGCCTGCAGTAAGGGGCTCCTGCCCTCCTTCCTGGAAGCAAGAGTGGTTGGGGAGGGAAATGTGATAGGGGAACTGATGGTGCCCTTTGCCAGCCGGCATTAAAAATTCATGTGCGTGATGGGCTCTTCCAAATAAGTCCAGGAAGGGCGAGTTCCTGCCTCCCCAGAGCCGCCGGCAAGTGCTCGGGCTGCCCGCCCTCCCCAGCCTGCGTCCCCCCTGGGGGACCAGGTGCCATCAGGCCCCCCCAGTGATGGGCTCTGCTTCCCCCGTGGCGTGGGGTGCAGGCTGTCCATCCATGCACGCTGGGGTGACGGGTGCCCCACAGGATGGTGGGGGGGGTTGACCCAGAGGGCAGGGGTGTGGGGTAAGCCAAGGTGGAGTAAGATGTGGGGCACCTGGAGAACCCTGGTGGGAAGGGATGGGGAGTCCGCGATGGGGAGGGATGCAGGTGCCCAAGAGGGGTGGGATGTGGGGTGACCCAGAGGGGGGGGTGGTCCACGGTCTGTCCTGGCAGGGAGGGATGCCGGGTGGCAGTAGGGTGACCCAGTAAGGACAGAGGTGGGGTGCTCCAGGGATGGGGGTACCCGGGGAGGGAGCGGGATGCTGGGGTGGTGGTGGTGGGAATGCTGAGCTCCCGGGAGAGAGGGGCGGGGCGGCTCCACGTGGCTCATTAGCAGAAGGCAATTTAATATTTATGAAGTGCTCTTGTTTGAATCCCAAGTCTTCGGCTCCAGTTACAAGGAGCTGCGTCACCCTCCGATCACATGGTAATTGTTGCTATTTCCAGGATCCCAGCCTCGCAGAGTGGCACAAAAGCTCTTTCCCCTTTTCTAGTCTTTTTTTCCCTCCCTTTTCCCTTTCTTTCTTTTTTTTTTTGGAGGGG